TGTGTGTGTGTGTGTGGTAGAAGTATCGGTTTTTGTACTCAGTATCGGCAAGTACTCAGATCCAAGTATCGGTATCGTATCGGTTTGAAAAAACTGGTATCGTTGCATCCCTACTAAAAGACATTGTGTAGACATCTATACCTTCTTTCTAAAGAAAAATATAGAACCTGTACAGTAAAACACATTTGACAAAATAAACTAAATGAAGTTACAATACAAATGATTAAAAAAACTAGTGTTAATAGACTAAAAACACAACAAATGTTGGTCAGACTGATATCAAGGAGTCAGGTGATAAGGTGATTAATCCTGTTAATATCTCTGCTTACATTAGGTCATTGTGGGCAGTGCTGAAACATCAATAAGCAGTACTGCTTTTTGGCAATATTGGTTTCTGCATAATGTGATAAAGCACCTTGATGTGTCAGGCGTGAAATTGACTGCAAAACAGGTTTTTATTCTATAAAAGGTTTCTTAATTTGATTTTCAGACAACCTGATTGCCACACATGCTATTATACACTAAAACTACGATGACCCAATCATACTTGAAAGCAGGGAGATTATTTTTCCCTGACTTCCACCACCCCACACAAATGTTATATTCTAGCAGCGTTATCATGGTGTACATACCGTCACCTCAACACATACCTCACACCTGATAAGAATGTAGATAAAAGTCAGTGTGGGGCTGAAGCTGACAAGTTTGTGTGTGTGTGTTACCACACTAGATATAAGAAAACATATCTCCATAGCAACACAGGCATCCAAAAACCACTTCAGCATGCAAAAAAACTCCTCTTCATCCTCCTCTTCCATTCTTTGTAGTTATTCTGGTGTCACTGCACCAAATGCTTTCCTCGTTATACGCATAATTTAAAGGGGGCAAATTATGCAAAATCCGCTTTTTCATTCTTTCGAATCATAACTATATGTCCCCGGTGTGTCTAGTGACCCAGAAAGTATAAGAGAAGAAGACCCCCTCCTGTCTTCATAAAGCATTTTTCAGAACAATCATTTTTATCCTTTATTGGACAGGGACAGTAAAGCATAGACAGAAAAGTAGAGAGAGACTAATGGGGATTAATATGGAGGAAATAGACTGGGCCATTTTTGAAACAAGGCCCCTGCAGCCTTCAGCATATGGGTTGCCTGTTCAAAAAACTTAGCTATAGTGACACTCTGGTTTATAAGCTCCTTTTAATGTGAGAAGAGAAATAGGCACCACCCATTACTGTTGGAGAGATCCTAAACATCTACTCCTTAGATGCCATGAACACAGTAACGTATTACAAATTATTTGTTACTTAATTATTCCTTGAAGAGAGCAATTTTGTTACACTGCTTGTTAGATTATTTTCATGTTACTCCATGAGAAGTGCTGAAATGCACTGTCTCATAATTACCAGCTAACAGCATAAACCTGAGGCTACAGTCCCACATAAACATACCGTCATACAAAACTAACTCTTTTAGTGTTTAAATGACACAAATTTGACTGCATGGTTAAAAACTAAAGCTTCACATTGCCCGCTACTGTAATTCTACTGTGGAATCAAGTGTCAGTAGAAAAAGAGAGGACAAAATGCTGAAGTTCACACTGGGAAAAAGCACTTGGCACTGTGCAGATAACTAAAGATACTTTTTAACACAAGTATTGCAACTGCATTGTAATGACTAAATCTGGTACAGTGATGGACATTGGTGATGTACACTGGTAACTACTAGAATTTGCATTAAAATCAATTGACCTTCTCCTACTCTTCAAGTAAAATCGGAGATGGAAAGAAGTTCAGGTCAGCACTAAAGATTAAAGGTCATCAATACTGATGTCATTTTCCTCCTCTCATCAGCTGCAGCCAAAGCCTTCACAGTGACATCGTTATAGTTGCTGCGGTGACAAGTCCACTGTGAGTGTGTGCGCATGCTGACTATCGAATGTGGGCTAAGCTGCACAGCAGAGTTGCTGACACAGCAAGCAAACACACACACACACACACACACACACACAAATGGACCCTGTATATACACATTCTTCTGGATGAATGCACAATCTCAAACATCGTCTTCCAAAAGAGATGATTTCACTGTACAGCCTTGTGAGTTCACGTGTCTGTGTTTTCGAGAGGGGATGCCTTACCTGAGACTGAGCATTGACGTTGGCACCGTGGGTGACAAGCTCCTTCACCACATCTGTCTGTCCAGCAAGAGAAGCTATGTGGAGGGCAGTGTTTCCTTTCTAAAGAATAGAAACAAAACAAACATTTAAAATTCGAGGAAAACTTAGGAAGAATTATTTTTAGCTTTTTGGATGCATGTAAAGGCCTGGGCTATGTGGATGTTTATGAGTCACACAGGAGAAATGTTTTGCATATTGCTTGTTTACAGCAGAGGTGCAAACTGCACACACATCTCTCTGGGGGAGTGCAGGAGAGTTAAAAGCAGCATGGATTGACTTAAGGCTATGGAAGCGTTTAAAGCACTTTTACAAGCTTCAGTGTCTGATTGCTGCAAATTGAGTGAAAAATATCACTTTTTATTAAAGTCCTATCTCAGTCAAACCTTAATATTTGCTGCAATATGATATCATTGTCTGTGACTTCTGTAAATCATAAATTAGAATTCACAGGAAAGGACAATTAATATAACTTTGGGACTGTGTGTGTATATATGCAAACTATGATTAGCGCTAATCTCACAAACTATAAATAAAATTAAGCTAACAAAATAATAATTGCATCTTGCAATATAATTTATAATGTAAAGCTTGGAGATAGCATATTCCCCCAAAACAGAAGACTGACAAACTGAATAAGTCTACAAATCACAATCTGTTCATATCTGTTCATGAATATCATTCATTTTCACTGTCTTTTGTTCTGTTGGCGAGCACAGATTAAAGGGCTGCCCACTGAATGAAAATGAGCACACAATCTGAATCCATTAGCTGGTCTGCTGATTGATGCTAGAAACTGATGCTAACTTTACTAGCATGAATTTTATTCTTTGTTTACTTTGGCATTTAACAGTAGTTGACTTATCGAGTAATAGAGCATCCTGATGTGTCCAGCTCTGCTAACTATGACACGACTGAGTCAAGTGCACTAGCCCAACAGTCAGGCCACCAGCAGTTAGCCTATTAGCCTTTAGCTTGCAAGCACTAATACTTCATAACCAGTCAACTTGGTCTTGCGCTTTGTTACCGAAATAAACAGCATTTCTAGAGTAATGCTTTACCTGTCCTTTGATAGGACTGTTGTTGTTGGTGATGCCACATTATTTATAACTTGTTAGGCCCCTAACACAGTCTATGGTAACTGTCAGATACTGTACATTTGGAAACATAAACAGCTAAATTGTTGTCAGTAGCTAGCTAATTATAAGACTGCATCTTTTGCACTTCACATCAAGTGTTTAACTGTGTGCAACCAAAAGAAACGTTGAATGTTTCCCTTTGTCCATAGACCCAGCATATTCATATACAGATATATACAGATTAAATATACATAACCATGAACAACACATATGCACATATTAGTTAAGGGTGAAAATTAAGGTTATAGCATTACTTCTGAACACCGGTTCAACTTGAATAACAGATATATACTGTGCAACGGTATGCAAAATGGAAATACAAAGAAGAAAACTTGGCATACTGAAAAGACTAGCAGAGCTAGTCTGATATGTGCATTACTCATACTGCAGCTCTAATGGATGCACCTGTTATATGTGTGTGATCCATAGCAAGCAGCAGCTGTCGCCATGCTGTCATTCTTACTGCCACTAAACCCTCTGCACATACACCTCGCTTTGTTCCTCACATGCTTCGCCTCTCCTTCCTACTGCTGCTGACTCTAGTTTAGAACAAGCTACAATGGTTTGATTCTGACATTAATTTGGGATTCTTGAAGTTTTCATGGCTCATTTGGGAGCCATTGTATGAGTGAGGGATACACATCAGACTCCTTTAAACTGCTTTTGTAACATGTCTGTTCAGAGAAAACCTGCAATTGGTCATTTTCTGACTAGTTTTATAGCATTCCTTGACATAGTTAATGTTGTAGTTTTAGTTTGCTATTCAAGCTAAAATTGAATAGAAGTGCTTCCCCCATCACAGCATAACATAAATTGTGACTGAATGAAATGTACAGTAGTGTATTCTTTCCTTGGCTCACTTATGTCGCACATAAAACACTTACAAGGGCTGCCATTACAGCCACACTTTAAAAACTTGCATAGTTACTATATAAGCACATATTAAAACCAGAATTTGTCTTCTTCTGGAAGGATTCAGGTTACAGTCCCAGAGAACTATTGATATATTACAATGCTCACACCTGCAGGGCTACAAAAGCCTCTCCTTTCTTCGCTTGTTCTTGTGTTTTTTCTGCCCTGTGCAATTAAATGTCACCTGTATATGCAGCTGGACTATAATGGATTATCAGCTTTGGTACGTTACAGATAATGGAGTTTCCTAAGGTATCTGACCTTCTGGAAGCATTTCTGACAGATATTCTAGTTAGAAAGTTGACTTTTCAAAGATTAGAACAGAATAGTCACACAAAATCCACATGTGAGTAACCAAGTTAGGTTTCTGTAACCGTGCCTATCGTGTTTTATGTGAATAACTACTTGCAGCGTGAAGTTCTTACTGGAGAGGCTGTCTGCAAATGTGCACTATTATGTTTTAATATCAGATCTGCCTTTTCTATAAAGGTATAAAAAACTAGCATGAAAGGGGGAAGCTCAGGTGGAGAGGGGTTGCACAGCAGCTTGCAGGGGCAACAGTAACTGCTCATAGGCTAAAATTACTTAAACTGCAATTGGATTTACAGAAGAGTTTTAGCTGATCGGATCACATTGTCAGCTGGTGTAGCAGGGTAGCTCAACTTCAGTTTGCTTGTTACACCTGTTAAGCTGCTTTTTGCAATTTTGTTTATTAATTGTTGAGCTGTTTTTACATCTGCCTTTTCACTCACTTCCAGCATGCTCAGATAGTATTAATAAGTCATTATCAAGCCTAACCAAATGCTTACACATTTATACCCAGTATTTTGGAGTTTTCATGCGCGCAGATGTGTTACAGAAGGGTTTGAGGGACTCCATCAACTATCTTGAACAATATAATGAAAAATCAGACAAAGTAAATTAATAGCGCATGGCACATGGGCACAAATAGCATCAGCTGCAAGTCTCTGGTGTTAATACCACGACCCTGTATTAGTATTTTTAAAACCATTGTTGTAAGCAGACTGCTTCAGTGCTGGGAAACATCTGTAAGAATTGTGAGTTATTACCTAATTACTCCCACTAACCTAGTTTAGTGTGGTGATGTCAGCATCATGGCAGAAAATCCAATCATCGTGAATTTAATCGCCTTTCTTCTAATGGATGAATTTAATGCAGTGGAGCATTTCACTGTCAAACACTTTACATACACTACCAGACCAACAAGCCCTATGTGGTGAAATACCCGAATGTCTGCGACAGGACTTATACTAAATCAGTACTTGACCTCTCTGCTCACATGCAGCCATTCATCTCCTCTCCTGCTGCTTAATCAATGTGACTTTGGGAAGGTGCAGACTCAGCAAACCTTGTGTGTGTGTGTCTGTGAATTCATGCATGCATAGTGTGCCTGTGTGAGTGATTGTGTGTTTATGCGACTCCTGGGTGGCACACACCTTAGTAGCAGCATCCACATTGGCACCCTGTTTGATGAGCTCAGCCACCACTTCCACATGGCCCTCCTTCGAGGCCAGATGGAGAGCATTGAGGCCATTCTGGAGAGAAAGAAAAGAGAGGAAGAGGAATGGAGATTAAATTAAAATAATCTTTATTGTTTTGCTTTTCCCCTGCAAATCTGGTCTCTATTGAGACTAACATACAACATATAAACTCTTTATGTGTGATTTTGAATCCAAACCATTTGGTATACTTGAACTAATTTAGTTTAGTTCCTGTAAGTCGTGCATTTAGGGAATGTAACACAACAAACCATAGGCTGAATTGGTGACCATGCAGGCATGGCAATAGTCTAAGGTTGTGCCTGCTTCACAAATTATATAAATAACTAGAAGAACTATTCCTACAATTTGAAGCTGAGTTTGGAGTTTCAGCGATAAAAAGACTGTGGATACATGGTTTGAGTTGTTTATATGGAAATTTTACTTTAAAAAACTCTACAATGGTGCAGTCTTATTAGCAAGCTTACCTGATTGCAAATATTAATGTCAACCCCATTTTTCAGGTAATCCAACGCTTTCTCAAGGTTGCCAGCCCGAGCAGCCCGCAGATAACAAGCGTTTACGTCTGTCTGCAGGAAGACAGAGACAGGAGAAAATGATTATTATCCTAAACATACAATGTATTACAATGAGCTGAACAAAAGACACACACAGGAAAAAATGAATGCACAAACAATTAGAATCTTCGAATGCTGCTAAAATAAACTTTTCCTATGTAAAAAGAAAAGTATTTATTATCCTAAAACAGCAGTAATATTTAATGTTCTAAGCTTATTTTAGACTATTTAATACTTTGGAAATATGTTGAGAAAAACAACTTGGAGGCTATTATTTTTGTCAAAGCTTACTTATGAATCCTTGCAACAGGAGATAAGTTGAGTAAATCCCCCAAAGCTTGTATGTTATTAGCCAAAATGAATAGATTAGAATGTGTGTGGTAAACCCTTTGAGGGCTCAAAGAAGCTGAATAAGAGCCAAAATAGGAAAACATTCATAAGAGTGGGTCTGAGAGAAATAAAGTGGTCTTCAACATGCCTGCTGGGTTAAACTCCCTAAAACCCAGCCAAGAAAAAACAGCCGGCCAAATCCAAGCCAAAAACCACAGGATTTATTCTGCTTGATACATTTTTTCAAGTTTGATTGGTGCCAGCATGGGACATTTTTTTTTACAGATTCAATGACACATCTGGATTAAGCTAAACATCAAACTGCACTGAGTTAATTGAATTTGACAACCCTGACTTAAAATTAAATATGTAGAAGTAAGTTATTTATCGTGATACTTGCAAGAAGATATTTTTGCATTTGCATCTTAAGAAATTTAACTCGCTATCCTGTCTTGACTGATATTCTATTCAGGCACATTTCAGGAAACTAATCAACGTAACTAAATAAAGAATCAATAACATTCGATCACAATCAGATGAAGTAGAAGTACTTTGTCACTAATGCAGCCTTTCTTTTGGGAAGCATTACATCACAAACAAGCATAGTGGTACCTGTGCAACTTTAGGAACACAAGAGCTCATTATTTTTATTTACACTCATCTGCTGGTGCGCTTACAACGCTCTGCAGTGAGGTAACATATCTTGGATGCAGGAAGAAGAGAAGATCAGTACCAAATTAATGTGTAAATGCATTGTCAGCACTATGAAAATGTGAAAAATGGCATGTCTAAACTGGCAGAGTATTATATATTAGCATAATGAGCATGCTACATTTATTTCTGCCTATTGCATTTTTTTTACAGAGGTATTAATCTTTCTGTTAACCAATATTTCTATCAAGCAGGCCTATCACAGCTGTTGGCATCTATAAAACTGCAACATGTAGCAACATTTCTGAGAAGATGCACATCAGGTTATAGCATAGATTTAACACTATACTAGTACAAAATGATCACATCCATCTTATCAACACATAAAAACAAATATTTTTTAAAGCTGGCTAGACACGGGACTGACTACTGACCCACATAGCAAAATTGGTATGGCCAGGATCTGGCCCACAGAATGTGCTTACACATGGCCACATACTGCAAAGAATGACGGCCCTTTGGTGGTCCAGACCAGGTTTGCCAGATGTGGCCCACACATGGGCCAGTACAAAGGCAGTTGCAGACACACTGGTGGTCCTGTGCTGGCCCAGAACAGTTTCAGCTCTGGCCCCAGATGTCAGCCTAATGTGTACCTTAATCAAGCCATGTAATAACAACATGTGCCAGACATAATAGTGCAAAAAGCAACATGACAAAACTCTGTTCAGACAGTGAATGGACTGATTCTTATATAGCACTTTTCTACTCTCCTGGATGACTCAAAGTGCTCCATACAACATGCCATATTCAGCCAATCACACACTTTCTCTAAACTGACTGCTTCCTAACTACATTCATACACATTCACACTCAGACTGGAGGAGCCAGGGATCAAACCTGATCAGTAAGTGACCTGCTCTACCTCCTGAGCTACAGCTACCCAGTAGTAAACATGATTAAACCCTCACTAGGTTTTGAATAAAGTGTACACTCACAAACCTGTCAAACCTGCATTTGATGCTGGGAGCATCCAAAATGATTGTTTTTGAAAAGTAAAGTGTATTTTTTCTGCAAAGGGAGTATAATTATACCAAACACACGCAGTCAACCCTAACATCTACTGCGAGCACCCCGGATGACTAACTGTGTCTCCAAGGGGAGCAGTAGCAGCAGCTGAAGAGCTATTTGCAGTTAACCTGTCACAGCTGCAAACATGTGTCATTATCAAGCTGAGCTGAGGATTCTGAAAGAGGAAAGTGAACATGCTGTATGTGCACATGTTTATATCTGTCCCTGTGTGCCAGGATTTCAGGGTGTGGCCCATGTAGGCAGAGCAGAAACAGGCTGAATTTGAGCGCGCTGTGACAGCAGAAAGGTTGAAAAGATGTCAGATAATCAGTGTGTGTGTGTATCTGATTTCATGATTGCAGTGCCGTGATTCGTCAGCCTACCACACCCATGTAGTTGAATGGATGCCCACACAGTGCACAGAATAGGCACTCTCAAATTACTGTTTGCTCATGTGCCCATTAACCTGCAGTATTCTCAACAAAGTAGATGAAAGGATTTAAAGTTAGCATCAGGCACATCCTATCATTCCAGGAGATTATCTTAATTTCACATCTGGGATCATTCACAAACCCATTTTCACATAGTGTTTGATACAGAATTCACTTCATTAAAGACAATTTAATTCACTAACATACAATTACTTTCAAGCATCACTGAGAATGGTTACAGAAGAATTTGTTTACCATGACATGGATGATGGCAAATGCTAAACTGCAGCTTTAAAGTAGTTTAAAAAAAGAGAAGAGTGTGATTTCTTAAAAATTCCCTTCTCCCTATGCACCTCCTCAAGCTGTTCTGGCTAGGTGATCCCAAGCCAGTCAAGAGGCACAATGTGTGTGTCTGGGGTAGAACACCTCAGCTAGGAGGTGTCCAGGAGGGATGCTAATCAGAACACTTCAGCGTGCTCTTTTCCTTTTTCCTTTGATGTTTGGAGGAACGGTGGCTCTACTCTGAGCTCTGACAAAATAACTGAACTCACTGATCTGTAAGACTGAGCCCAGACAGCCTTTAGAGGAAAATAATTTCTGCCACTTGTATTTCTGATCCTGTTCTTTCAATCACTACACACAGTTGATGGTCATACATGAAAGCAAAAACCAGCATATCAACAGCTTTGCTTAACACTTGGCTCTGCTTTTACCACATCTCAACTCCACCTTTTCTACACTCGTCAACAAAACCTCCAAATACTTGAACAACACAGCTACATTCCCTGCTAAATGCTATGCTGTGCTCACCAGCTAGTCTCCAGCTACATTTCTCTGTCATGGAGCAGGAACTGTAGCTGCTGCCTCCTATCACAAAAGACCAATAACAGTGAACTGAATCAGCAAAGCTGGAATTCACTTTGAATCAAGTTACGTCTTTCAACTTTGCCTTTGATGCATTGTTCCTGTAAAAATACAGATTATAGCAGCCTTAATGTTTTCATTAAAAGCATAACTGAACTGAATAAACTGGCCTATTGCTTTAAATTGTATTGTGTATTTCACAATCAGTCTTTGTGCAATGTAAAAATCTCTACAGTGATACGAACAATCAAGTCAAGTTCATTGCACCATGAGCTGTGTTATTTGCTGAGGTCATTTCCCACTCAGTGAATAGATCTTATCTAAGGTCATCGTCACATATACGCAAACACACAGGAGAGCTTACAGGATGTCAAACACAGGAGTTTCCTGGATGACTGAAACTGCAAGTAACCTCTCTAATGGAGTTTAACATTACTTTTAGTGAAAGTACCGCATTGCAGCTTTTGTAAAGGTTACAGATTCTTGTCATTATTTAGACCTCTATGGAGGATCCCTGCATACTTTTTTGCCTGGCCTTGCTGTAACATGTAACTCAACCTGAAACAAAATATGTCTGTGAAGGTTCTCAGTCATCCAGGTCATCGTAGTCAAAGGAGCTTGCAAAGAAAAGCGTCTGGACTTCTTTAGGTTACTTGAATTCAATATAACCTTCAAGTAACCTAAAGAAGTCCAGACGCTTTTCTTTGCAAGCTCCTTTGACCTGAAACAAAATAGAAACCATATCAATAACACTGATCTAGTAAACTGTCCCAACTAATATAAAACGCTCTAGTAGTAAGACTATCCTGTTTGCCAGAGTTGGCCCTGACATAATTCAGTTTATTTCATCAACAGTGCAAATGTAAAAAAGAAACATAATAGTGTCCCCATATTATTTCTGTAAAATAAAATGATATTTTCTTCTCTCTATGAGGGAATCATGCAGAAATTGTCCCAACAGTTTGGATGTTTAAACAAAAAGTATAATCTTTAATCCAAAGAATAAAAACATGTGACAGAAAAAATTGCAACACAGTTTAATGTTTACTACAAATAATTACATGCAAAAACATTTCTTAGTAATCAAATACAATTGCATATTTCAAAATAAAATATTTACTAAGAGTTCTTTCTACCAGTCTGGAAACAGTGTGCCGTGGAGACGGATTGTAAGGCCTGGTGCCAAGCCTTATAAATTTAATGGGGGGGCAGCCTGGGCTGCTTAGAATTCAGGGCATTATCAGAGTTCCAGTTCAAAGCGGCATTCTCTGGAAAAGTACTCTGGTCAAAGAGCAGCACCAGTCCAGCTCAGGACTTCCCAGTTTGGTCAGGCTGACATCAGCTGATACACAGCACATGACACTGAAAATAACCACGTCACTGCTGTGACTGTCTGCTGCATGGCAGGTAATCAAGATGAAGACAGACGCCAAAACATTTTTTTAATATAATCTTTAAATATTTTCATAGCTTTTATTTGAGATGTTCATTAAAAGAAACCTTTATTTTCTGCCTCTGTTACCAACACAAATGCACAGCTAGACTAAAGCTGAATAAACACAGAGTGTTTTTGACATTAACCTGTGCTGGGGAGAGATCCTTTTTATCTGTGTATGAACATGTGTTGGAAAGAAAACAATGCAGTTTGAGCTCCAGAATACATTTATT